CGCCAGTGTGTGTGCTCATATGGCGACACGAGTAATGTCTATACTACTATCTTCTGTAATTTTGATAGAGCAATACTGGAGTTAGGTATGGTCCGTGTGTCGTAGACTCTGCAGACGTTAGTCTAACTTTTTACTGAGAATTTTAATAATCGATACAATACATAGAAGTTGTATTATCCAGTCGATTCAATAGGTGAATTGAGACAACGCTGCTTAAATGTTATTGTTAATGGTGTAAACCGTAGGTTCGTACGCGTCGAATAGTCTATGCCGTGTAGGGCCTCGGGCCGATACTATTGCAGTGACCAGAAAGTTCTGATCCTAGAGAACAGACACCATAGCTATGCTATCACAATATAGCACACAGAGTTCAGAAACGCGCAAAACTGATTGAATAATAGACAACAGTCAGCTGACAATACAAGATATACAAATAAGCTAACTACTATTAAATAAGCTCTCTCGAGCATCGTCTAAGCATAAGAGTAGCAATTTAGCCGCAGCTGTACTAATATAGAAACAGACTAATGATCATGGGCTATAGTAAATCATATAATTTTGTTAGTATATATATAATAATATAATAAAAATAAGTAGAAGAATTATAATTCGTTTGTTTATCATAGCATAATGCAGTATTGTTTTCGTTCGTGGTTGTGCGATGTAGCTTCATTTGAACTTTGTGTAGACTGCTGGTTGCCGTGTATATACAGTGTGTTGTGAGTCGATCCCCAGTCTACTGTTTTCCTATCTATAGCCGCCCCTGTGGTAAACCTCCAACTTTCATCCTCACCTCGTCCCTTGACCTCTCAGAGAGTAGCCAGATGCCGACCCCCTCGTCGAAATCTCTTCTGCCCTGACCGTTTCTATTACTGCTTCTCTGCAGTTACACATCCGTTGCAGCAAGTGATATCCTTGGTAGCGAAAGATTAATAATTTGAGTCAATTATTGCTAAATCATTCTGATCGTAACATTTTAAAAAGGTTGAACTTTTCTGTGAATTACTTTAGATATACACTTATTTGGATTTTATCTGAAATAGACTTCGCCGGGAACGAATGAATTTTCGCGTTAAATGTGCTAATGATGTAGCTACTATCCAGCGGCTAATTCTCAAATGATTTCAAGGTATATCATGCACTTGCTCCAGGAGTATTAAATAATGTATAATTGTATACTCGAAATCCTTTGAAATATTAAATATACACGTCTAACTATATAGAATACTCAAGTATGATTCTGCTACCTGAATATAGTAGCTCCGATAGTTGTTGCTTTGGTAATTTTCTTAAATTATCATTGTTGTTCATCTTAATATATATGTGAATTGAATCTAAATATTATGAATTATTGATATAAGAAGGTAATCTTTCTTTAATCGTATTCTCTTGCGACAATTGTCGCTTTAGTCCCATCAAGAGCCGTGCATACTCGCTGGAGTATGGCTAAGTTCTTTATGGTGTGGTCTATCCTGAAGATGAATGGGTATGTAGGGAGATTTATACAGGTACCTATGCTGATAGTCGCCATCCTCGGGTGATGCCATGGCGAGCGGGGTAAGTACTCTTATTTATCTATATTTGTTTGTCCACTGCTTCGTAACCTCACTAGTTGATTGTCTTTCGAAAATAGCCATGACAGATACATCTTGTTCGCGTGTTTTAGCCGGCCTAGATTGGTGAATGGTATGTCAGAGTTGTTCAAGGTCCTTGCCCCAGTCTATTGTGACATTCTAGGTCCATGTTAAAATAGCCCGTAATTATATTATTAGTATGTAGATAGCGCTGTCGTTTGTAGTATGTGTAGTGTGTGTGTGAGGTGAGTGCGCTGTTGAGGTGTGATAGTGTGTTGTGGTCCTACGTTCCGCACGTTTTAAGCAAATGCGAGTCCGCTGCCTCGTGGCCTGAATCTGTGCGTTACTGTGGAGAGTCCTCGTGTGCTCGATGTAAGACTCTTAAGGCGTCTCTTAGCGTGTAGAATAGTATTAGTGGCAAGGTTTTGCGTGTGTTTAAATTTATGAGATAAGATAATGAACTAAATGCATGGTAGAGAATGACATTCTTCCGGCTTCAATGTAATAGGTTGTGAGTTATGATTCACACTAAATAATAGATTTTATCGTTGGATACTTATTTAATTTATAAGTATTATGAAGACTAGATAATCTAAATCTAGTGTGTTAATGCATGGCTTGTAAGTGATTGTGATATACTAAAAACTTTATGTTAGTATCTTTTAATTAATTAATTATGTCAGTGTGGCTTATGCGACAACAACATTAGTTCAGCCAATTTGTGAGAGAGTCAGAGTTAATAAATTTGTACGAAGGGAACCTTGTCCTGTATGATGTGATCGAGGCTGAGTGCGTGGTGAGTGTGGCTAGTGAGGCATGTGGTGTGTTGTTTGTAGTTGATGTTAAATGTGTCGTGTGTTGTGTTGTGTGTTGAGATGTAGTGTGTGTGGTGTGTGATGTGAAGTGTCTGTGTGGTGTGTGGTGTGGTTCGTAGTGACGCGAGGCCGTTTAGGGGTCGTCGACTCAACAACGGTCTCGTCCCTTCCCTCCCCCTGCTTGAAGCCTCACCGCGCTCGCGGTCGCGGCAATCGGTAGTCTCCCTCCGAGCTAGAGCCCGCTTAGTTGCCGTGGGCATGGTAGCGATACTGAACCTGTCTGTGGTGGATCCTCCCCTGCCGCTCCCCTCCCTCCCGTCGCGGATTTCTGCTCTCCTGCAGCATTCGACTTCGGCCGGATCATTGCAGCTTAATCTCGAGATTCTCGGAATATTACTGCGGAGTAGAATGTCGGTTTCCATTTCGTCTGGTAATATTGGATAACCATTCGTTGTGGTGACATCTGGCAACTAACGTCTTGTTCAGTTGTCGCTGCCATCACCCGCGGAGGCTCATGGTGGAGCTCGCGGTCGCTTTTCATGCTACTATCTATAGACTTCTTACGTGGATAATTGAATGTTGAGGGTTCGTGTAGTTTACTTGTAACCTTATATCGTTTATGGAGGGAGTCTAACTGTACGTCATCCTGTTTTTAAGTATAGGGGATTGCGGTATTGGCGGGAGTAACAAGATCGGCCAATAATAGGAAGTCTCCCAGTAACTTCTTGCCACCGTCAGTCTGTTAACTCGTTCGTTCAGAAGGAAAGTGACGTGGCTATAATATTTTTTTCTCCTGTCGCACTGGATCTGATGGTTGAAGCTATGCCCTAACGATTTCCGGTAGAACTTGAACAAGAATGGATTGTCGGCATGTATTGAGCCAGTTTTGATGTAGGCTAAATTAGTCTTTCTAATAATAGGCACTTGCGAGCGTGGCAGTATAGGAGTTGAGGTATTTATGCCACGGCCGTGAGATTACGGAGGAAATAGTGGTGTGGTTACGTTTCCGGTGCGATGTGGCAGACGCACGGCAGCGCAGCCATGAGCCAGCTCCTGCTCGATGGCGCTGTAACACTCGGTTGCATTTCCGTGAGGGTTCTAAAAAGATGGGAAGCTGTAGTAAAAGGATAGTCGAACCAAAGGGGGGGGGGGGGGGCGGGGTCTGGAGGCCATTGCAGGACGCGGGGCCATATTCGTAGGTCTGGAAGGACCTGTGTAAAAGGGTACGAGAGCTCGTGGAAGACCGGCTCGAGCCAGCAAGTGGGCGAGTCGCTGACGTCACTGAATTCCGGCGCCTGCTACTGCCGCCATGCATCTACGAGCCGCTGAGGGCTGGTGTGCCGCGGGACTCGTGCACGTACCACGTTTGCCTCGGACATGCGGGCGTGGTGGTCTTTGCGATATTAAAATGATACGGCTCTCGTCTAGTGGGAGTGTGTGTGTGGAGGCCCAGGCTTGAGTGCTGGGTGTGACGTAGACTGGTTTTCCACCGGTTGGCCGCCTACCTGGCTGGCTTCCACGCCCCCGCCCGCCTAACATAGTGCTCTCACCCCAACGCGTGGATACACGGCAAGGGGATCCGATTCGTGGTAATGATGTCACCCATATTAATAAAATCTGCAGTCAAATTTATAATTCTCGTGATATATACATATATACGCGCATTTACATATTTAACATGAGTTCTTGTTTCTCTTTTTAACCGATAGTTATTGCCTCTCGAATATAAAGTGTTCCGAGTCGTAGATGCGTCAGCTGATCAACGCAATCGGGTCCACATCATTGGAAAGGGCCAGGCATGGGAATTTAATAGACACGTGACAGGAGGTAGTGAATGGCTCGCGGCCGACGATTGGAGTTGGTGGGGGGGGGGGGATGAGTCATTCGCGGACGTCACAATGAGTCATACAGAGCGAGAGGGAAAAGCTAGTAGTCATCATGAATACTATCACATCGGCAAGCGTGCCTTTTCACTGATTCAGAATTCTCTCCGAGGAATCCGTCGGCGTTCTTGTTCTTTTTAGACGAGCGTTTTATCGACTCGTAGACAATGCCTAAGTCTGTATTGATTTTTCACTACGGCACGCGCATCTCGGCCGCAAGTGTTGCCAGATTCATTTTTTGTTATGACTTCTCAAATCTACCACGTATTCAATAGCTCATTCGAAAGGGCCTGGAGCATTCATGGGTGCCTTCGCATTCTGCATTATACATAACCGTGGGTGCCGTCGTGCGCTCGTAAAGGTTCGTCAAAGCCACATTAGGAGCTGGAGGTTAGGGACAGCGGCGGAGAAAGTTGTGGAGGCGTAGGCAAGTGGAGCATGACAAGTGGTGTAGGCGTAGATGTGGATGTGGGCGAAGTGACCAGCTCCAAGCATGGTCACACTTTCGCGGACCTTGCCTGCTGTGGGGGGAGGGGCGGGGCTTACGTGCGGAAAGGCATCTGTTGTATTAGTCATATGCGTGAAACAGTCCATTCGGTTGCCCGAGTAAAGTTGCCGAGGTCTGGCGAGATGAAAGGGCAGGAACTAAAGAAGAGCTCGGGCCTGGTTCCCCCTCCCTCCCCTCGGCCATCTCCGCACTCATCCCTGCCCCTACTCCCCCCCCCCCCATGCGCTCTGTCCCCCGCCGGCCCACTCCACCCGCCTTCAACACGCCCTTTACACCTCAACAGCTCTTGGCATTTAGGACCTTCAATTCCACACTTGTAAGGGGCTCATAGCTATGGAGAAATGTTCCTATTTCGTATCTTTAGAAACGGTATTGTAGGATAGAAATAGGTTAGTTTTAAAAAAGTATGTGTAGTAATTTTTGTTTGCATGCCCCCTTCAACATTTGTTAATGTTAGTTTAATGTCCATTAGAAATAAAGGGGTACCCTACCGGTTGTAGGTATAACCTACATACCCCAGGTTGGTATAATTACAGTGGATTCCCTGTGTGTTTGCTTTTCATAACTTGCTTGTTTCTGTGTCCAGGCGTAGTGGACGACTCTCAGAAGTCGTACCAGGAGGCTTTCGACATCGCCAAGGCAGAGATGCAGCCCACCCACCCCATCAGGCTGGGTCTGGCGCTCAACTTCTCCGTCTTCTTCTACGAGATCCTCAACTCGCCTGATAAGGCTTGTCAGCTAGCGAAACAGGTACACTATTATTTTCCTTTAATTTCAGGTTTTCACCGGAGGCAGAGGAGAGCAATCGTTACGGTGTTTCGTTGGGGACTACTTACTAATACATTTAAGCCACTTTTGTATTTTTTTAATCGAGATATTGACCTGCATTGCTTGTTCTTCAAGTTGTGGTTGACGACTCCCAGAAGTCGTACCAAGAAGCCTTCGACATCGCCAAGTCAAAGATGCAACCCACCCACCCCATTAGGTTGGGTCTTGCCCTCAACTTCTCGGTGTTCTACTACGAGATCCTCAACTCTCCTGACAGAGCGTGTCACTTAGCCAAGCAGGTAACGCGGCGTTGACCCATATGCCGCTCCACTCACGCGACCACACCAGCTAACTTGACCCTTGACCCCTGGCTATCCCAGCATACTTGCATGACCCCGCGTGTCATGTTCACTTCTGTAGCTGGGTAGTCGATTCGTGAGTCGTAGATTAACAAGGATCGTGACTTGTGTTCTTACACTAACCAAATTTCAGTGTGCTCGTAGCAAACAGTATGGTAGATAATGTCGACCTGACCTTGGCTGTTAAGGTTTGTCCGAAATCTCTTGGTCTAGTTGAGATTGTGAGAATGATTAGTCTGATATCGTATGTGATGGATTTTCGCTCAGTGGAAAATGATGGCCCCAAATTCAACGTGATGTTGTCATGGCTTGGGCGAAGATACGCTGCGTGGTCGGTGACACATCGGGGCGAAAAGTATGATGGTTGCTCTCCTCTCCCACGGGAAACACCTTAGGCGGCCACGATTTCATACTAATGATGGAATTTCTAACTTGTAGTTTTATTCCGTTTTGAAGCATGTAATCTGTTTACTAATTGATAAATGTTTGGTAAATGTTACAGAAATTTTATAGTACTATTTTGTCATTTCATGCAAAGTTTACTACAACGAAAGCATTTGGAAGACTTCGTAAGGATACTACATAACCTTATCATTTTAATGCATTTGAGTTTCAAATACGTGGTCAGAAATTGAATTAGGGAAAGAAAAGGTTTTGCATCAGTAATCGTTGAGAATATCGGTAATTAAAGTTTTTTTTTTCTCTACACTTTCAGGCATTCGACGACGCTATTGCGGAGTTGGATACGCTAAATGAAGACTCGTACAAGGATTCTACGCTCATAATGCAGCTCTTGCGAGATAACTTGACACTTTGGACGAGTGACACGCAGGGCGAAGGAGACGAGGCTAATGAGGGCGACCAAAACTGATGAACGCAACCCCTTTTAGCAGGCTCCACTCGACCCTCCACACTCCTACCTACCAGTCATGATGCCTGAAGGGTCGACCATTCCTCACAGCTCACTCTTCACACCGCCAGCGTGGCTACAGTAGTCGAGGCTACGGCTGGGCGCTCCTCAGTGACGCTACGCTCACCACCTCGATACTCCCGGCCGCCTCACCACCGCATCAACGGTCGTCCCTCGGCCTCTCTGCTGCCTCAAATGAACATCACCTCGAGGAAGTCAAATCTCGAGTAGACATCAATTCTTTCCCAGTGCATTTGTGACTCACCATTGAGGAGCAGTCCCGGCTGTTAGGTTAACAATCGTGCACAGGCTACCCGGCGAGTGTGATTGTCGCAGCTCTTTGCCACCATCTCGAAAGAGACTGTGAAGTGAATATGACAGTGGGATCTTCTCTCTGGAACAACGTTGAGAGACAATTTTGATAGTGTGAAATCAACGCTTGGGTCGGCTGGTCGTTTCTAATGGGGCGGCCAGCCAGACTGCATTACTTATTACTGCTAAATGAACCACTTAGCATTTTGTACTTCCCATGGGGTCGGGCTCCCTCGGTCCCGCCTCTTTGTATGTAACGTTGCGTACCGACAGTCAAGAGGACAAACCAACAAGTATGAAGAGATTGTTACTGTATTAACCGGTGGATCATGTGGTTGTAGCAAGAAAGATTATCTCCTTGATTTGGATAAAATTTGACCACAGAGCTAAATCGATAAAGAAATTTTTTTGAAGATAAATAAGATATTCGCCTTTAATGTTACAGCCCATGAACACACTGTACGTTTAAGATTAATACTGTATTACTTATTGGTTTATTAGATGTGACCCCTTCAAAATTAAGCTGATTTTCTGTTATGTCGTGGCCAGTTGGTGTCTACAAGATCAATAATAATGCGGTAGATATTGACTTTGTTGGATGTAAGCATGGAGTAATGATGGAAAATGATTACTTTATTTTCATTTTTTTCACGTCGCTTTTGAGAATGATCGGCGGTCAGGTGAGTCAGAACAGGCATGGGAAGCAATATTGATTAGAATAACTTTCACCACAAGGGCGGGATTCAATTGGCTACTCATTTTACCATCTTCAAATAGACCCCATTGGCCAAAAAAATATCCGAAATTGGACTACCATCACCAACAGGGGAGAGCATGATAAAAAGGTAATAGCGGTAACACTCACGCCAGTCATCCCACCTCTCCTGACGCCGAGAGTTCTCATTTGCTTTATTTGAAGACCAGTGAACTGAGGAGCTTTGTTTTCTCTGGGTTTGTACTTATAATCACGATGATTTGTAATAGGCAGAGCACCCAGCGAGGGAGGGAGAAGTACTATCAGTGCATCTCTCTATTGCCTAGCCAACGGTATTCAGTAAAATAAAATATAAAAAAACAATGAATGGTATTAGATATTTCTCATTCATTTTGTCATCAGCATTAATGGTAACCAAACACCTCCCCCGTAACAATTAATATTGGTCAAATCTAAAACAATAATAGTCACAACCATCTGTGCTTGAAATTGACTGCCAAATGTGAAATGTATTAAGAAAGCGTAAAATGTTTTGGTGGTAGTTTAGGTCGTCAAAATTTAACTTTAAAAAATTCTCGCCCCTTTGTCAAAATTGCTTTCCTAAATCAACGTAATAAACGTTTCATATATATGTTGTTGTTTCCACAAACCTTTTTGTCTGTACTGTTTCAAATAAAACTTCAAGATAGTGCAGCATAACACTACTTTTACATCGCCTGAGAAATCGTCACACTTGCAGAGCCCACATAGTAAGTGAAGGAAAATACGTATATAGTATTAGTGTCAAGGTAAAACCAGCATAAGTTTATAATTTGTGCTAATTAAGAGGCTTAAAAATACTGTACAAACTACTTTGGAAGTAAACACCTTGTTTCATAATACAAATGTTATATCTGGTTGTAGCCGATCCCATGAAGGCAATAGAAAATAATAAATTTAAACTGATAAAGAAGATTAAAACCGTTTCTGACCTACTTACACAATGAAAAGGCTGCTTACACAAAACGAGTGGCAGTCCAGAGGACAAGTCGAGCAGAACTTTGTCTATAAAGAAAAACCAGGAAACGTCGCATAAATGTAGAATAATGCATGTAACGGCTGGCTGTTCATGCTACGGATTTGCTGCAGGTACATACAAAACCAGTCGCATAAAATTATTCACGTACACTTACTAAACTATCATACTTATCACCAATCACTTACACGATGCATCTGTAATCCATTAAGACAAGTCGGTATATATGATACGGAGTTAGTACCAAGTTTTGAACCGAAATATTCACAGATCTCCGTATTACCCTTCACAACACCCCCAAGGTCATTTTCAAGCGAATACTGAACTAGTACACACATTCTTGCGCATTTTTTATTCTGAACTTATTTTCTACCTAATTTGTAATTGTACTATTTTCAAAGGATTAATATCACCTAGGATTACACTTTTAAATTCATTTGACATTCACATAAACTACAGGCGTATAAATGAAAACACGAAAGAAATATATATATATAGTTTGTCAGGCATTTTTTCTCCTTGAAGTAATGAGTGAGGTATGAATATCAATAACCTTCCGAAATTGGGACAGTGCCAAGATTGTCCGAAGATGAAGTAGGAAACATACCTTCCAAAAAATAAAGAAATAAAAAATACATATTCGGGCAAGCTCAGTTACCATATCGTCAATTCTTCATGCAATTACTTGGGATACATTTTCTCAAATCTTGTTTTTTACTCTAATTTCTCAAGTAGACAATGCCACATGAAGTATATAAACATTTTACAGTAATGAATGTAGGTACACGGGTTTTAAAAGGGTATTGCTAACGCCACTCGCCACCGCTGAGACGCACAGGAACCAGTCAGCTCTCCTCGCGGGCACAGGTGACGTTGCCATACCCACTGGTCATGTCATTGTTAATTATAGTTGCTGATGCAGATGCCGATGAATTTTTGTGATGCTGTCGCCAATACTGAATGATGCGACGCCTCCCTCTTTTATTCTCAATAATTTACAGCCACCGAGTCAAAAGGTTGAGGAATACAGGGTACCTTGTATATATATATATATTTTTTTATTAAGAGAAAAAAAAGTAGAAAAATGAAAGTAAAGGTGAGAAGAGTAGCTTTAACATTCGCTTTGAGTCTACGGGTCCACTCACAGGACACCGGGTCCGAGAATGTGGCAAAGGAAGCTTCTGGAATTAATTTTTGATTAGAATTATGACATCGGTTGAAGGATGGGACGGCGCCGCTCCTCGTGTAGCGGTCCTAGCCAGACACTCCTACGTGGATGCCGTGCTGGGAGGACGCAACGGTTCGGAAACGTCTTGTGGAAGAGTTTTTGTCTCGTCTTCCGTTATAATTTATTTGCTCATCATTAGTGATTAGCTGGCAGTAGTATTACTACTAACAGTACTAGTACTATTATTATTTTTAAGTAGTAGTAATAGCAGCACTACTACTACCACTACTACTCCTAATCCTACTACTACTGTTGCTGCTACCCCTCCTCTTTCCCTCTCTTACTGCTGCTGCTGCTGCTGCTATTAACACACCACTACCACTACCATACTACTATTTCCTATTTCTATTATTACTGCTATTACTACTGCTGCTGCTGTTGCTGCTACTGCTACTTATACCAGTATCGTCACTACTAATACTGCTAGTACTATTACTAGTATTCCTATTGCAATTATTATTTTTTCTGTTAATACTATTATTACTACTACTACAACTGTTACTGTAATTAGTAATATTGCTAACATTACTGCTACTACTATTACTACTTCAATTACTATTACTATTATTGCTGTTACTATTATTCCTGTTTGCATTGCTATCATAATTGCTATTACTATTTTTACTGTTACAACTACTGTTACTATTACTTCTAATGATATTACTGCTACTATTATACTACTGTTATTACTACAAATAGTACTACTGCTACTACTTTTACTACTACTACTGCCACTAATACTATTACTACTTCTGTTACTACTGGCATTATTGTAGTTACTAATTCTACAGCGATTGTTATTATCATTTTCATTATTGCGTGTGTGGTATTTATGCATTTTATCCGTCTATTGTCTGGGAATGACAAGAAAACCACCTTGTCGAACGAAAAAAATCCGCACAGCTTATTTTTATCGCAATAAATTCGAAGCTGTGTCGCTGTGTGACAAACTTGGCAGGTCGTCCAGCTGTGTTAAAGGGCGGATAAACACACGGTAGTCATAACAACATTGTAACTGTAATGGAAATGTGCAAACCACTCTGGCTCCCTCCTCGTTTTAATGAAGCCAGTTATCAGTTACACAGCCCGGGGGAAACAGCAGGCACAGACAACATATCTATCATACAACCAGATTTATAAGTTGCCTGACAACATGAGAGCGGGTCAGAGCGAGTAAGACAATACTGTCAAGTGTACCAGGTGAGTTCGCAGGTCAAAACAGGTGACTTGACAAACAAGATAATGAGGCAGACTTTCACTGTCCTGGGAACTGGGGGGAAACGGGCGTAAGCCACACAACACAGACGGGGAGGGATACGGGTTTATTGATTTTTGTTTTCTGTTTTTGTGTATCTATTGTTTCTCCTTCGTGATTTGTGGTTGATGAATATGTGGTTAGCAATATGTCCCTTGTTGAGATATAAGATCTACCAGCTGGCAAGGACAGATTATCCCAAGGACGTACATTGGTAACGAGGACACTGGCCGAGTGTGGCGCGTGGTTTGACCCGCGAAGGATGTGGTAAGCGCGGTGCCTGGTATGGCGACCATCGATATTGTGGTGATGATAGCGTAGCGTGTGGTGACGTAACGGTAGGGTGAGAGTGGTGGTTGTGTGGTGTAATATGGTGAGAGTATGAAGTGACCGGAACAGCACTGTTGTGAGTACCTGTTTTGTTGAGTGATAGTCGTGTATGGTGACTGAAGCGACACAACGGGGAGAGTCGATAGCGTGTGGTGTCTATTTATTAGATGCAGTGCGTGTGATGCATACGGCACAGCAAGTTAACCACGGTCGAGACTGTGATGAACATAATAACATCGGCGGTGACGAAATGGCAGAAGCAGGAGAGAAGGCGGCAGCGCGGTCGAAGACTCGGCGCGGGGAGGATCTTCCCCACAGCCTTGGGGATCGATAATCAATGCAGGAGCGACTCTCGGGCTGCAGGCCTATCTATCTCTCAGAGCTCGAGTACCGGTGCATGCAGTTCCTCGATCCCGGTGCCATGTGTGTCTGTGTATGCTGGATCATGCACATGTCATCTGTTCCTATAGCTTTAAACGTACATGTATACTGTACCATGCACGCCTTATCAGCTGCTGCTACTTTCAATCCGCATGCGGACTGTACCATGCACACCTTATCAGTTCCTGTTACCATAAAAGCACATGCATACTGCATCAAGCACACGCCTTGCGTCACACCAGAAAGCACTCCTTGGCTACACCGCCCTCCACGCGTCCAGTCGCACGTATGCAGCCGCCTCCTGCACAGCCCTGCTAATCAGGCGCATTCCTTCATTACATGGATGCCCCCCCCCCCCCAGCTGTGTCATGTGCACCTCAGGGACACGGTGTATGCTCTGCGCGTCACATCCTCGCTTTTTCACGTTGGGGAACACTGTGCAGAACAAACTTTAAAATACCACGCGTTTGAACTCTCCGCTCGAGTCTCTACTAGTAAAATTCAATTCATCTTCCTCTGAAGTCCTGTTCGAGTCCTAACTTCAGAAACAAACTCTCCGTTTTTAAAAGCGTTCCCGAGAGCCAGCAGATGGCACGAAGGCCTTTTGGGGAGGGAAAGTATCTAATGTTAGGCCATGATGGATGTCGTCTTCGTGGGTCCCGCGGGAAACGTGCCAGGGAATGCGACCGGAGACTTTCCTTCACTTTCCTCCCTCATGATGGACGCTCGTCAAGTGTGTATTGCCAACATATGTGGCGAGCGTATCCCCGTCTACGCAGGGTATGAGTCGCTCGCGGGGGAGTCGGCGCGCATGTGTTCGAGTTCCCACGTGTCATGTGAACACATTCATTCGAACATTTCTCCCCTCGTCTCCGCTACTCGGGCGGGGCGGGCGGGCTGACTCACAATCAGCGAAGTTGGATATGAATCAGTCATTTGGGTTGCAAGACCGTGGTGATGCAACGAGGGAGACGCATTGCACGTGGCCTTGGGGAGCATATGTCCGTCCACCAGCGGGAGGGGCCAGGGGGGGTCAGGAGGGTCAGGAGGGGTCACAGGGGTGCAGTTAGGGCGGGAAGGTGACCAGGGTATGAAGAAGGTGAGCGGAGCGTGAGGAGCGCCGCGTCGTACCACGGGTTAGCGGAGGCCTTGGTGGGCGGCTGCGGTGTTTTACTGCAAGGAGGGGCGCGGGTGGGAGGGGGGGGGGCGAGGTCACCTTCACCCGTTGCTTGATCGATCAGGACAAAGTCATGCCATCATACCAGCACGACTCGGCCAGGTACAGCGCCGCCGGGGGTTCAGGCCCACCTGTCCGGGCCCGACACCGGTTCACACAGCTTCACACGGACGCCTTCCCGCGACCTTGTACACACGCCCAGACACACACTGATGACTGCAACGGGAGAAGTAAACAGTTTCTGT